TCCTACCATGGTGTGGAAAATGGTGACCTGCATGCCTCAGTGCTAAAAAGGTGTTGGGAATAGATCTTATAGTTCTTTTTCTTTAAATCAGAGCTGAACAGGACAGCCCTCTAAATACAGGTCTGTCCTCTTGCAGTCTTCCAAATAGAGGACTGTCCTCTGTACAAGAGGACATGTGGCCAGCCTCTATCAATGTACTCTGTGGTCACAAAAGGTCGCTACACTTGTGAGCCCAGTCGCTCCTATGTTTCTTGGGCTGCAAGGAAACAAGTGATGATTACGTGGTCTCTGTATTTGTTTTAAACCACTCTTCTTATTTTTGGGTGAAAATGCCTTGATGACAGGCTGGCAAGATGCCTTCACCAAGTTAAACAGACACCCAGACAGCTGCTGCAGAAGATAATCTTGGAACAGAATAGGGTAAACGTACCATTATCATCCACTGAGGTAAAATGTTATTTTAGCTTGCTGGCTTGGCAAGGCCTGCTGCGGTGACTTACATAGAATTTAAAGAAACTTAGTGTAGTATTGAATGTTCCTGTTCCAGCAATTTTAGCTGGGATCTAAAAAGCTGTTTTAAGTTTACTGAAGCACTTAGACATAGAATGGTGACATTCACCCCTATTTACCTTTCTTGTGTGGCCTGGTGGAGGTGGAGAATTCTTGTTGAGGAAAGCAAATTGGACTCTCCTTTGGACCCACAGGCCTAGTGATACCGTTCCTTAGATCTGGTACTTTGTTCACAGATTTAAGGGATATACTCCCACTATCACAATGAAAGTGTTTTCTCATATATTCCCACCACAAACTAAATGGCTTCTCTACTTACTTAGAGTGACAACAAAACTCCTTATGTATTTTATGATGGCCTTTGCTTATTTTGTTTGTTCCACATTGGAAGTTAGTCAGCGTTGGGTGCCCCTGTGCATTTTTAGACAGAAAAAAGCCACACAGCTCCCAGGATTCCCAGCCAGCCAGTTATTCTGCATTTGCAAATATGTACAGATCTCTCCAAAGATAGAAGAAAAACAAAGATAAGTGTGTGCCCATCTCCCTGAAGGTGCAAAAATAGCATCAAATATGTACAAATCTTCCCAAAGGTGAAAAAGAGTTTTTCCACAAGGTGTCACTGTCTAGGGAGGTGACAGAGTAGAGGAGTGAATTGACCTGAGTCATGCTGAGATGTAATAAATAGATTATTTATGTTTGTTAGCCGCCCCAACGCTTCTGTGAATGGGGCGGCATAGAAGTTCCCTAATTAATTAATTAATATCATTAGTGAGGCCACCAGGAAGGAACTGGGTTTTTCAGCACTTCTGCTAGCGCCTCTGTGGCCCTTTCTGACAAGCTCTGCAAAGCTGTCGGGACACATCCTCACATCCTGCCAAGCCACCCTGAATGCCCCAACAGCAAGGAATGAATGCTAAAGGGTGGCTCGCGCATGTGCAGTAAACCACACTGAAGAAATTGGGCATCAAGTTAAGCCTCTGTGAAGCAAGGTAAGCCACCATGGGCTGTCCTGTCCTGTGGACAGGTCTTGATTTTATTCTTGTGCACACACTCATGCTTTTTCCCAGCCGCCCTCTCAATTTATCTATGCAGATCAGTCAAGGAAAGGAGTGTTTCAGTTGATCCTTGTAGGCTAGCTGAGGAAGGGGCATTTTAATCCCCAGATTGGTTCACTGAGTTAAGAGTTGTGCAGAGGCCGAGCCTGCATCTCTAACATGGAGATTTAAATGTTTAAGACTGTCAGAGTACTACAGTCATTTTGGGCAGCTATGATCTTCGGAAGCGTTGGCCTTCATCGCCCATCAGTCTTAACCTCCATAGCAATGGTGAAGGATGGTTAGAGCTGTGGGCCAGAAAACCTCTGGAGGGCCACCAGTCACTCATCCCTGCACTTCAGAAGGACTGTGGTCTCAGGAGTGTCCCAGAGGTCATAATGAGGACAGCAGAAGCCAGCATGAAATAAAGCCCAGTGCCAGGTAAAGCGTTCCATGTCCCGGCAGCACGATGCCAAAGGGGGGAAAGAGCATAGTGTGTGTGCATAGAGAAGGTGTGGATTCCCAGAAAGGGGGGGTGGGGCTCCCAAATAGGAGCTGCTTGCAAGCTAGACTAAGGAAGCTTGATGGCCAGTGGTCAGGGAGGATGGGAGATGGAATCCAGCAACATGTGGAAGACCGCAGGTTGCTCACCCCTGCTCTAGGAGATCGCTGGTTCCTTTCGCATTTCCTTTCTACAGAGATTAAAAGCTCTTTGCGGTTGAAAAACTGGCAGTAGTTTTAAAACAATGAAAACTACCCCCCACCATGCACACATTCATATTGAGCTGGGTATGTAATCCTAGAAACACTGAGAAGGGAGCTACTGGGAGTTTAAATTGATCAAGTTATTAATATATCTCTACGGTCTCAAAAATATTTTCCTATTTTAAATGAAGGTTTAGACAGAATGATCTCATCTTAATAAGCTATGGTTTGGTTTGCCAAAAATGAACATTTTGCCTGCACTTCCCCCTTTCATCTTCCCCTTGTTCACTTGCTTTGGTGCTTCTATTTTGAATGTGAAAATTTCCCATAACATCCCAATGGAGAATTATCTCTGGCTGTACTAATCAGGATCTGGCCAGATCCAGTCTGATTCCCTGCTCAAGGAGAGGGCACAGGCATAATGGCCTAGCTTAGCTTAATAGTTAATGAATTTATTAAGCAAAGGTAATTATGTCTGAATTGCCATATTATTTGTACTATGAAATGCAAACTCTCCCATCTTAAAAAATATACAGTTGTTGTTGCCACGTCTTCTTTAGTTTTGCATTTGTATGGATCCGTGTCTCTTCCTGTGATAGTATAGCTAAATAATAACACAGAGCTATAGTGTTTGGCACATACAAACTACAGACGAGAGGTACTACAGGTTCTTTTCCCTGTGCTTTGCATGGCAACAGAAGTAATCTGTTCTGTTAGGATTCGGGTGCCATCTTCGACATACATGTTTAGAAAAGGGAATTGACCATTATACAGTTTAATTAGGATCACCCAAGAGATACAGTGATTGATATTCTATGATCAGTGGCTGAAAGCTATTGCCCCATGTAGAATCAACAATGGCCTTTGTTTAGAGTATCAGTATTTCAATGGAACTAATGCTACCACTTACCAGGTCAGTACAGACGCAAGATTTGGCAAGCTGAGCTGTGGAATCTGGAAGGGGGAAAGGCACCTCACATAAGAACTCAGAAGATACTCAAGGACCAAAATCTAAGCTGGGGTCAAACTCCAAAACAACAAACCAGAATAATGTCAAGAAAGTGGGCAGGACCAGAGAGGCAGAATCAACAGAACAACACACAGTTGCAGTTTCACCCAGACAAACTGGCTTCAGGAGTGGAGAAGAAGTGTATAGATGACCCAGATGGATATGTGTTCAAATATTACACCCAAGTGGGAAAAGCAGAAGTGAACATGAATCCCATTTCTGCTGTTTTTACTTCTCTGAGATGCCCTTGAATCAGAACCTGAATTCGTGTGTCTTTATAGTGTCCCAGAAGAAAACTCCCCTGGAAGTGCTTCAGAAGGTACCCCTTTGCACTGAGCTAACACAGGTATTGCACTAATACAGATAGTAGCATTTTGTTTTAGAACCAAACTGTAAAATCTTAGCGATTGTGCACCAGCTTTTTACAGGTACATCCAGCAGAAGAATAACATTTCTCAGATTGTCTGGCTGAGAAAAAAGGTGACCAAAGAGAGACAGGATAGAACCTTTAAAATTATACATGGTATGGAAAAAGTGGAGAGGAAGGAATTCCCCTATCCCATAATACTAGAACCCAAGGTCATCCCAAGATGATTAATGGAGGACTGAAGGCAGATAAAAGGAAGTACAGTGGTACCTTGGCTCATGAACTTAATCTGTTCCAGGACTCTGGTCATGACCCAGATTGTGAGCCAAGTCAAAATTTCCCCATAAGGGTCAATGTAAATGAGGTTAATCCATTCTGCAACTATTTTTTTCACTCACAAAAATTTGAAGCAAAGTGACAAAGATCGCGGCCATCTTCCCCCGCCCCCCGCGATCGTGTGGGGGGGGTAGGACGAGGCGGGCGAGGAGGTGCAGGAGGGAGGTGGGCACAGGAGCAGGTGCACTTGGGCCGGGAACATGGGCGCAGGAGCAGCCACCTCCCCTCCCCCAGCACAACGGCAGTCGCGCCCATGCAGGGAAGGCGGGCACACTCACGATTGTTACCCGATGCAGAGTTCATGACCTGTGGCAACATTTTTAAGAGATTTCTGTTTGTGACCCGATTGGTCATGAACTGAGCATTCGTGAGCCGAGGTACCACCGTACTGCTTCACACAGCACATAGTTAAACTATGAAATCCACTGCCAGGAAGTCATGATGGGCCAATTGAACAACTTTAAAAGGGGGCTGGACAAATTCAGGGAGGAGAAGGCTGCCAGTGGATACTAGCCTTGTTGGCTATGTGCTACCTCTGCCTGCCTGTGCACACAGTTGCTGAGGCTCTTCCCCTCTTGCTTGAGGGATCCGTTGGACAGCTGGATTGCCACCGTGTGAGCAGAGCTCTGGTCTGACCCAGCGTGGCTTTTCTTACACTCTTATACCATGAGGAATGGATCATTTTGTTTTGGAGAGATGGCATTAAGTTCAATGCCACATGAGCTGACTTCCGCTCATGCCAGTGGGCTTCACTGTGCTCTCCTTCTACCTGCAGCCCCTCTGTGCCCCCACCTCTGCCCCGGTGGGCTCAGGTGGCTGCAGGGGAGCAGGGAACACCATTCCATGAGGAGCTTCTGTTTCACAGGGGCACAGATGGTTGGATACACCCTCAAGCGTTGTACATAAGCAATGTAAAATCTGTGTTGATACACATTTTGCTGATTGATCCTGCTCATTGTTCACCAAAAGACCCTTCACAGATATGACCCAATTGCATTTTTTGTTTTCTAGGATCTGTCTCAACCCATGAAGTGTGATGGCAAACATTTCTACAAGGAAACATGCTCATTATTGGCTTTAAGCCCAAAGACCTCTTTTTCCTTGCGCCCACTCCTTTTCTGGAGGGCAGGATTGATTTGTAGCATAGACTATGTCGTCTTATGAGAATGAAGAGTCAAGATGGAACCTGAGACATCTCAGAGGGGTAGCTGAACTCTTGCAGCCCGTGGCTTTACGTAGTGAGTCTAGTATGTTTTTGCCAGTGAAACCTACCAGTTGCATTGACCAATGTTTGCACATTCCTGGAAAAGCAGACTCTGCATACAGTTCCTTCTCGGGGGGATCAAATTTTCCAGAATATCCTACCCCTTTGTGCTTCAGTGAGCATGATTCTCTGATGATTCAAGAGCAGCTGCCATATATGGACTCCGGATACGTGAGAAGTATTTATAATCCTAGTGCAATGCATTTTGAGTTTAGGCAAATGTATGAAAACAAGATGGTGGGAAAGAGCAGTCATCATAAGTTGGAGGATGCTGATCCCAAAAGGGCATATGGAAGCACTCCTTTTCATGTGATGTTATGCCGGCCACCATCACCACAAACCATGTTTCCATTTCATCCACCGTCCCCGCCGGCTCGAGCAGACAGCTACGAAACTAAGCAAAATGTAGGTGAAAGTCATTCTGAAAGTTGCTTTGAGCACAGCACACAACCAGAAGTCTGCGTTCAAGACAGCAGCAACAACCGACCTTTTGACTCCCTGGCACACTGTTACGATGGTTATTGGCTATCTAGATGTGAGGATGAAAGTCCAGTTACAGAATCGGGGGATATTTGGCATCCTACCAATCAGTGTACCGCAAAGAAAAATAACTCTGCCTTTGACTCAAAACTTTCTTTAAGTGTTCAAGAAAATTTTAAATCTGATTCTTTGGCCAAGTCTCAGAAGATTTTGTGTGCTGAAAATTCAGTCCATGGTTATAAAATTCCTGAGGCACTGAACTCTAAGTCCTCTCCTTCATTACGTACCAGCCACAATGCTGTTAATGATATACAAGAGAACAAACAGTATTTTTATGCCTGCAGTGTACACAAACCGCCCTTTGCAGAAGCAGCTCTGCCAAGCAGTGTGGCAGGATCCAGCTTACAGGAGGGACAGCTTCACGGAGCTCTGCATCCGTTCAGAGTTGACGAACCTTCAGGTCTGGATCAGGAGATCTATGAGTGCAGTTCAGGCTTAAAATTCACGGGCAACCCTCTTCCTAATAAGACCGCACTGAGGATAATTCATGGCTATGAAGACAAGAAATGCTTCCTCAGCTGCGAGGAAGGAAACAGCCGTGATGTTTGGCAGCCACTTCTGAAACAGCGAGCTAGAATGCAGAAACCACCTCATGGTTTGAACTTTGCGGAAGCTCTTCATAAGGAGATGTATGGGGCTGTCAGTGCAGTTTCTCATTACAGCCATGAGGCAGAGGACTCTGTATTCCAAGCCAATGGATTTAGAAAAGCAAAGCAAAGTGATAACAATAGAAGCCTCAACCTTCTTATAAGCCCCAGGCAAGAGGAAGAGCTGAAGGCAGTCCACTTTCCAAAACAGCAGTTCTCTAAGAAGACTGAAAGTCGTTTCCAGAGTGACACTGCCAGTGAAAAGATTAACAGAAAGACAACTCCCTTGCTTTACTACCTTTCTGGTGGGAAACATTCCAGCTTTATCAGTCATCACAACCAGGCTCAGGAACAAGATGGATTCTCTATGAAATCCCCAAGCAGCAATCACCCAGTCTCTGCGGAACCAGTAGAAATACCAAGAGACCATAATAACCACATCAGTGAGATTGCCAGCAAAGATGAAGAAGTCATTCTGGGAAGCCCTGCATCTTCAGTGGATGAGAAGTTCAAGAATGATTACCGAGAAAAACTTAAAATTGCTCAGCGAAAGGTGCTGAGGGAAACATCTTTTAAGAGAAAGGATTTGCAAATGAGCTTGCCCATTCGGCTAAAGCAGAAACCTCCTTCAAGGCCATCCATTCAGCATCTCAGGTCTATGTCATTATCTAGTACAAATGAGGACTGCACATTGATGCCTCCGTCCAAGCCGCTGAAAGACGTAGATGAAGAAGAAGAATCAAAAAGGCCACAAACTGTTCGAATTGGTGGAAGAAAAAGGACCACCAAAGAGCAAAAGAAGATCTCATATTCTGAACCTGAGAAACTGAACCAACTGGATGATCAGAGAGATCAAAGTGTCTTATGGAGGCAGAAAAATGCAAGGTCCCGATCTGATGAGATTAATGAACAAGATACCAGGATTGTCAGGGGTAAAGCTCTGGAAAATCAAGGCCAGATTCTTTCTAAGGCAGAACTGAAGCTAATACAACACAATGCTCTTCTTTGGTACATGGAACGAAAGACTGGACAAAGGCCCAGTGCTGCAAAGAATTGTCCCCAGCAGAAGCTCCCTTTGCAGCCAAAGACTTCAAAGAGGTTTGTGGAAAGTGGCACCTCCAATCCCAGTATCAGTAAAACGTTACAGAATATGGATGGTCTGGATCAATTTCCTGCTCCAAGGAGAATTCCTGAACTACCTAGTCTTCTGTCTGCTCCAGCTCCTACAACCACCATCACCAGTAGATGCGGTGCCAGTTCTCCTGTGCTGGAAATAGCTAATTCAACAGTGCAGGCTGCTGTCAGTGAGGGAAGCTGTGCTAGCAAGTGTGCCTCAGCTAAAAGCCGCCTTCACTCAGGTTCTTCTGCTTCCAGCAAAGGCCAAGGGAGATCAAAATCAGCTCCTTCTCCTGTGCAGGTAGTTATTAAGATATCACTCGCCTCTGGTGCCCAGTGATCACTTACCCAATGCTGTTGGGGATCAGTTGTCATGAGTAATCAAAACGTTTTCTCATATGGCCGTGATGAATGCATTATAATGCATATGAACTTGCGTTTTGCCTGTGTAAAAGTCATTCTGTTGATTTTATTGGAAAGGTTACAGTGTTGTTTAAAGTGCACTCAGATCACGGGGATAGGAATGTATGACTTTATTACGCATTTCAAAAATGTGTTCGGCTAAACAAAGAATATTTTAATGAAGCTCCCATTCTTTAATCTGAGCAGTGCTATGCCTTGGTAGGGTCCTTCCTAAATCAAAGGCTGGCAGTTAGTCTGGACACATGATCAGGCCAAACTTAAACTCCACTGATTTCTAATGAATGTGGGCATGATGCAGCCATTCAGAATTCCACTGTGGCAGAGAGTGACATACGCTTCACCTGCTCCCTCATTGAAATCACTGAGGCTTTTGTTTGCCTGATCATGCACAAAATGCAAATAAAATGCTGTGTCTTTAGCAATTACATTCTATCATTATATCTCCTCATCCCAATCATTAATTCCCACACAGATCACAGTGGTGAACAGATCAGCAGATCTTAGTTGTACATTATTAAAATAAAGTAATTGATGTGGTAAATAGGAACAAGTAACTGAAACCAAACTCCTACTATCTATCTTTTTTATAGAATGGCTTTGACCAAAGATAACATGTAGTCAGATATGTATATCATATCATTATCTTTTGTTTCATGTTTTCCATTGAAGAAATGCATCAAATTATACAGCTCCAACAGTCTTCCAACATCTTTTCAGATCAGATTTTTCCTGGATAGGAATCTGAATGAGACAGTGCAATTACACATTCATCGTGAATCATTTCCATACTTTCTAATAGTCAGAGGCACTTCATATAAGACAATCTTCTGATGTGAAACTTACTTCTGATAAACTGTCCCCACCATTTACAGTACCTTTAGGAAAGGGAGTTGCAAATAGGAAATGTTCTCTTGTGTGAAGAGGTGCTCAGATATCCCGTAGGACACATTGACACTGATAGGGAAATGTGATGGGTTTCTACTCTTCAGTGAGTTCAATAGCTCATCATGCTAGGATTATTCCCCTGGGCCTCCAGGCTGTCTTTCAGCCTGAGGAATACCTTGCTGAACCTTTTTCGTAAAACATTAGCTATTTGCTTTTTCAAATGTCTGTCTCACTCCATAAATATTCCTGGGCTTCAGGCGAGAATGCCAAATGTACTTCCCAATGCCAAAGTATGGAGGACAATGTCCATTTAAAAAAATGCTGGGAAAACAGGATAAGGAAGGCAAACAAAGGCAAATAGGAAAGTGCAAACTAGTGACAGCTCAAGCTTTCATTACCTGTTTCTCCGATAAGCTCTCTCTTTTTTGGGGGGGGTGTTTCTTGTATGAATCATAATTCGTAATGTAATATAATGTAGTGTTGGCTCCCTTACCTGCTGCTTTAGAAGGTTGGTTTTTTGGGGGGGGGGCTAAAATTATGGGGAAAATGGAGAGGTGGGGCTTGTGTGGATTTTCTTGAAGGGCACACTTAACATATTTTCCTCTGTTGCTCTGCTTTAGAGAGCAATAATGTGGTCCCTCATCAGTGTCCAGTTGGCCACAGGCAACTTGGGACAGTATTCCCAGGTCTGGGGTCATAAACAGAGTCCCAGCCTCAGGTTTTGGGGTCTGTACCTCAATCCCCGTCACAACCAATGTGGAAAGAACTATGGCAGCTGCTTCTCTGGGGTTGGAAATTGACCTCAGAGAGAAGGGCAAAGGGCTGGGCTGGGATGGGGGCTGGGAAAGGAGACGTAGGGCTCCCCAGGATATAGGGTGTCTGGGCAGTGCTCCAGTCTTCTTCCCTCCCCTCCTTAGTGCCACAATTACATAGCTGAAAGCAGCCAAAAAATAGAAATGAATTATAAAGCAGAGGGCATAGGAAGGAAGGCAGAGATTCCAGAATGAGTACAAGGGAACCAATTACCTAAGGAGGTGCTGGGCTGTCCCACACTGGACGTATTCAAGATGCAGCTCTACATTCACTTGGAGTCCTGTATTGCACAAGCGGCGGCCCCTTCAGTCTCGCTCTCCTGTGCTGTGACTGTATGATTTATTTATGTATTTACTTATTTTAAACATTTATATCCCGTCCTACATGAGAAAATGTCCCAGGACAGCTTACAAAATTATAACAACAAATAATAACAAAAATTATAACAATTAATGGTAACACCATAAACAACAAAAATAATATCAGCAAGAGTCCAAATCAAAATCAAAATCGGAAGCAAAAAAACAAAAAGTGACTGTGGATGTTAAAACCAATTAAAATTTCTAACTCTTAAAATGACAGAAAAATAAAAAGGTTTTCACCTGGCACCGTAAGGATTATAAAGTCAGCACCAGGTGAACCTCTCCTGCCTCTTGTTTGCCTCTGCGGCTCCTCACACACTGCACAGGATGCTCATAAAGCGCATGAGCGTTGAGGGCGCAATCTAGACGTTAGGTCCTCATCAGGTTTGCTTTAAAACATCCTAATCGGATTTCTTGAAATATTTATCTATTTATTGCATTCCTATTTATTGCATTCCTATAGCCCAGCAGGCTCTCAGGGCTGTGTATAAAACATATACCTAATAATAAAATACAGCAATAAAACAGCAATAAAAACCTCTAGATACACGAAAAACCCTACAATAAATAACTACAGCATTCCATAAATTAACCCTAGGAACTGCAGCAATAATAAAACAGGTCTAGATTTGTTTATAAAAAATAATAGTTTTCTTTTTCAAAATGTATGATAAAGAAAAAGGTTTTTGCCTGGTGCTTAGAAGAAAACAAAGAAAGCTCCAGGTGTATCTCTCTGGCTCGGTGGGGTGCAACCACTGAGAAGGCCCTTCTGTGTATGATTCATACTGTAGAACTCTATGATTAAGGGAGCAAACCTATGAAAGCTTAGGCAGAAAAAAGGGTCTGCAACTCCCAGCTCTGCTGGGGCATGCTGGGAGTTTTGAGTGCTGGAATAAATGGGGGGAAATATTTTCTGCCTGAGACCTTGGAGAGCTACCACCAGTCAGAGTAAATAATACTGAATTAAATGGACCTGACTATATATCTTATTTTCATACACTTTACCACAGTGCTGTTGTGCAGTTATCTGTTTTCTACACATAGGGTAGAGAATTCATATTGTATGGGTGCTCCCTTCCTGATACAAATCCCCAGACTCATGGCTACAAGGGAGAAATGGGGAAAACACCCCTATATGCCATTGGTGGTGGCACCTCTTGGAAAGAATAGCACGGCTTCCTATCAGTTAAAGATTCACTGTTTATGGAGCAAAATTTCATAAATCTCGGAAGGTCTCTATTGATTATAAGGCAGGGGTGGGGAGCCATAGGCCTGGGGCTGCATTCAGCCCTTCAGGATTCCCAGTGCAACTCTTCATTAGTCCCCAGACTCCAGATGGCCACATCCGCTTTCCTGTGACTGCCAATACTTTGATGGTTTTTCCAACTTTTGTATGTTTCCTTTTCTCTCATTCTAAAGAGTTGGAATGACTCTCCTAAGGTTTAGTTACCAGTAGTAAAATCTTGAAGCTACAACCTAGAAACAGAGAAACAGAGCAAGGCAGAAGGGTCCTCCCAGGCCATCTAGTCTGACCCCCAGCTCCACTCATGACATGCAGGTATCTGGGGTATTTTGGCCTCGCCCCTTTTGACTTTGCCCCACCCACTCCTGGAATGCAGCCCCCAAGAACTTCCCTCAAGTTGCCTTTGCCCCTGCCCCTGCCCCTGTGCTGGAAGAGGGTCCCTCCCCTGCAATAAACGAATGTGCAGGTTGAATCTCTCAGGTGCATTCAGACATGTATTATGGGGTGCTGTAGGAAATGCAGGTAGCATATGAGGAAAAAGCAGCCATCATTGTCCCAGAGATAGCCTTGTGCTCTCCAGGTTAGCTGCTTAGACCGCAGAGAAGGTTCCACGCGGCGGAATATTTGTTCATGTGTTTGTTTCCCCCCCACTTACAGGATTTTGGCACACCTACAGCTGGTTTGGCGTTGCCTGCTCAGGAACAGGAATACTATCCAATGCACCCAGAGTAAGTATGCAATAGCTCATTGAGCTTCTGACTTGTACAACTGTGTATGATGTGCCTGGACAGTATTCTTTCCCTTGCGGTACCTGATTCTGCAGATTCTAGGCAGAAGCATGCACTTTGCACAGATGCAGCTAGAAGCAGCGGCATCCAAACAGCAGTTTTCATTTGCTTCCAGTACTCATAGCCATGCCCCCAAGGAGAAGTCAAAGAACTGAACCCTTACCAGGAAACTGGTTCTAGCAGTTTTCATCTCCTGCAGGAACAGGTCTTCTGTGCTGCTACTGTCCCTTCAAGACCAAGTCTCTCCAAGACAGTTGCATTGCAACAGGGCATAATGTATTGTGGCTTGGAAAATTCACCCACTCCGCAACCATGAGGATTGTAGTTGGGTTCAGAAGGAGTGGGGGGATCTGAATGAGATGGAAGATGACATCAGTGTCCCCACTAATCACAGACTGCCGGCGCTGTGTCCATGCCCACTCTGGCTCTATTACACTCATTTGCTTCTAGTCCATCCTCTACTGCAGCCTTCCCCAACCTAGTGGCCTTCAGGGCATTGGACCACAACTCCCAGAATTCCCATTCAGCAGGACCATTGAACTAGGAGTTCTGGGTGTTGCAGTCCAAGCATGTCTGGCAGGCACAAGGCTGGGGAAGCTGATCTTCCGTGAACGTGGAAATGGGCGCTGGGAAGCTATAGCTGGGCTCATGGAGGGTTGCAGCACCTATTGGTTTTCCTGTTGATATGTAGGAATATGCTGGAGATGCATAGGGATATCTTTCATGGCAAAAGGTTCACTTGCTTTTGCTTCCATGTAGCTTTTTGGACTTCTGTGAACAGTTACATCTTTCAGAATTCCATGCCATGGGAAGACACTTTTCTGTTAATCAGGCAGTGCCTGAAATCCCTTGTTTCACTTGAAGACTGCATTCCTTGGAAAGTGTATCTGTTGACTAAGCAGAAGTACAAGGTTCACTGTTTTATGCTATCATTTTGTACATCTTGTCCATGCCTTCAGGTGAATGTGCGCAATTACTGTCCTTTCAACATGCTCTCTGTTCAGCTTCAGTTAGGCCCAACCTCTCTTGCTCTCTCTCTCACTCTGTGCATGTGTGCATGCACACATATGGAAAGAGAGGATGGAAGGGTTCACAAGCCTTTTTTTAACCATTGTTGGGCTGTTGTGTCATGCAAACCCCATTTCAGTAGGGTAGGTTTGGTCTTTAGAAACCATGAACAGAAACAATGGTATATTCTACCAAGGTTCAATTTGGATGCCAGGAAGCACTTCTGACAGTTAGGACCCCAGGGTATGGAATGGGCTTCCACAGGAGGTGGCTGAAACCCCATTGGTGAGGGTGTCCAAGGATATGCTGGATGTGCACATGGTAGGCCTGTCATTAGCGGAGCTGGCTGGGGCCAGAGGTCAGACTAGATGGCCCGGGAGACCCCTCCTGACTCACTCTGTTTTTTATTTCTATGTTCTATAGTTTCTCCATGCCACAGTGGTCTGTTACCTGAACGTGGAAAAAGAGTGTTAAAAATGGTGGGGGGAAGGGAAAGGAATTTGATAGTAATTGATTTAAATGGGCTGTATCCCACTTGTCCATGTGGGAGGAGTTTGGACAACTGCTTGCAGCCCATCACAGCTAATTTAAACATAACAAGCCATAGTCCCCCTAAGCATAATCAAGCCATGGCCTGTCATGTCATTTGAACCTGCACTCTGGGTTATGCAAATATTAAACAACACTCACAGAACTGATGCCTCATTTGAGGGTTATACAAAGACTGTTTCACTCTCACATAACCCATGATCTCCAGGTTTGGATGACATGAGAAGCTGTGGCCATAGCTTGAATATTCAAAATAGGAAACAGCACATACCACAACACATGGTGGGAGGCTTGATCAACTGAACCAAATCTGCAGGTTGAATATGAGTATGTGTGAACCCATAACCATGGGTTAACTATATGTTAACCACAAACAATCCAGGAAGAGAAATGGGCATTTGGGGGTTGCTTGAAGAACCAGTAGCTAGCAGTGGGTCCTGAAAGCACGCAGACAGCACCACATGTTGCCCTCTGTGTGTGTGTGAGAGAGAGACAGGCAGAGAGAGACAGAGTCATGCAATTAATGCACCTTCTCATGAATCCCAAACTGAGTACAAATTGTGTGCAACGTTTACAAACAGAGGTGGGGAAAGTCTTCATGTGATTCCAAAGGCACCCTGACAGCAGACTTTCCCATACTTGTTATATGAGATCACAGCACCACCACCTGATCTTCTGTAGAAACAGCACTTGGAGTACAGGAAATGCAGCCCCAAGAAGGAAAACTGCAGGACTTTTCTTGGTCTGCTTCTAAAATACATGTTCAACATTTACTGTAAGTTATATGTTCAAAATAGAAGGAAAATAATTTGCAATTGATAGTGCAGGATAGTGAACTAAATAGTGAACTAATAGTAACCTAACAATAGTGAACTAAAGTGCAGGAGGACTGGAAAATACTTTAGTCATATAATTTTCCTGGCCCCTAATGCAGATTTATAGACTATGGATGATGCATTGTATTATCTTTCATCAGCAGAAATGGCTCCAAGCCAGACCACAATAGCACATGCATCAGCCTTCATCTGCTATCCCCATTTCCCGTACCCTTCAATTACTTTCCAAAATGAAATGTGGTACCATAACCACATTCCAGTGTGTTACAGTATCAACTTCAAAGCAGCTCATAAAACTTTTTCAGATGTATTAGTTTTACAGTTAACCGCCTTAAAAGAAGGGAGCGTGTCATTTTATGACCCCTTGAAATGCACCTTTGCTATCTGGTGGTAGAGACATCTGCTCTTTTCATGTGTGCCTTGAAATATCAACAGAGCATATTGTTCTAGCATTAATTAGACAAGGGATTTGTTGCCCATGGGGTAGCAGCAGTTCCCTAAACATCCTTGAGTGTGTGTAAGTAAATGATCAAATGGAAACTCTCATAGAATCAGTCAGCACAGCTTAATTAGCACCACTGTATTATCTGGTATATTTACCTCCTAGCAGTTACATCAGGATAATTAATAGCTTAGACAGATGAAAAATCAGGATGCATCCAAGTAATTCTCTCCCTCACTCGGTCACACACACACACACACACACTTGTGTGCACAAAGTGTCGTTGTTACTAATGTTCTGAACCTTTAAAAAGTTATCTTTCATTTTTCACTTCTTTTGTGAGTGTTTCCTTGCTGTCTCCATGTCTAGCCATATGGGAAAGAGGCATCCTTTCAGAATGAGTCCAGCATGTACCCTGATGAATGTATTTGTTAAATTTACACTGCCCAGCTTTCCATACAAAGTATCCAAGCCAGCACAAAAGATGAGTGTGTGTGTGTATGTATTTAAGAACCTGGTTCTTATAACAATATACAAGAGTCAGCAATAAACAAGAATGTAGTAGAAACAGTTAAGTCCAGATAAAAGGCTGCGCAATGGCAGCCTGTTCCTATTATGACTAAAAGTACAGACTGAAGTACAGAGCAGTGGGGCAGGACACATGAGCTTAATGCACCAAATAAATTTCTTCTGCAAGCAAAAGGACATTGCGGAGGAAATCTTGCAGGCTTTCCTGTGGAGTTGCAAAGAATCAACAGAAGTATACAAGTGCTGTATCTGCTCTTCAGCTGTGCTTAGTCAAGGGACCTACATCCCAGATGGCGTTTTATTGTTACTTTTGCCAAAGAGCTTTCTTTTGGAGAAGCAGCAGCTACAAGAATCGTTAGGTGATTAGGGGTCCAGCAGTGGAACAAGGGGCTGTTCTGTACTTTTTCTTTGTCAGCCATTGTCTACTCCAAATCAGCCCCCCCCCCCCAAAAAAGTGTTCCTTTCCCTGTGAAAGATGGAGGCCCCCACATTTTTCTCTGTCTGGTGGAGAAGTTGCTGGACACAGTGTCCTGATTTTGAGTGGGCAAGGAGGAGATTAAGCAACGCCTCTTCCCCCTCTTGCACCAGCCGCCTTTGCCCTTGCTAAATGGGGGAGAAGAGAGGGACAGAATGACATGTGCCTCCCTGAGGACAAGAAGTGTTTTAAAATGTGGGTGCCTTGACACTGTGTTTACTTCACATTTACACTGAAATAGTTTCACCTGGTAGAATCAGAAATGAAGTGAGACCTGCAGTGATCTTTAAAAGAGATGATATATCATTTGAAACCCTCTTTAGGGAGAAACAGGAAGTTAGTCCGTTGGGCAAAGCAGATGCTTATGTAGCTGGAAGAAAAGGAAAGTCTATGGAAGAAATGGGGACTTCGGAAGTGCCAAAGTGCAGATCAGCTTCAGCATCTGAAGGGCTGGCATATTTTCCCGGGACTGGAGAAGGGCAAAAACAGTCTAGGAGCAAAGCATGCAAGTGTTTTACAGAACTGTGCGTCTGCACCAAGGCCCCGGTCCAGGCAGCCCCATATTGCAGGTGTTGCAACAGAATTAAGAGGTTTAAATTTGGCAGCCCATGTGCTTGAACAGCAAATGATCAGGTAACTGGCACTTTCGTAAGTCTAAGCAATCCATCCCTGGTTCGTGGATCCATGCCTCCTCTGGGCCCATTGCCATCCTCAGGCCTTCCTTTGGAGTCTCTTCATTCTTTGAAAAAGACAATGATGTTTTTAGCAACTCTTTAGTCAGTGGCTCAGAAATGACTTCAAAGGTTCCCTCTTTCCTTGGACAAAGTAAGGGACCCAGTCCTGATAGAAAAACACCAGAACCTGCCCCAGCTCTATCAACTCTGCAGATTTCTATTGAAGGCATGCACATCAAGAAAGAAAATAGCATCAGGTAAACACATTACACCTGTTTGTGGTAATCTGCTTATTTGTTCTGTGTACCTCTGCTGGCATGTGAATTCAGATGTATTGTAGGCCGAATGTGTACAGTATACAGAAGCAGGGCCATTCTGGAATTTTCTAAAAGAAGGCACTCTGAGAATTGCTGTTAGTATAAGATATGTGATGCTATTGCAGGAAAACTGCTTATGTACAAAAGGCAAGGAACAGAATTTCATGGACGGCATATTCATATTTGCCTCCTTTGATTCTGTTATAGTTATGCAGAGCCAAGCATTCAAGAGGTGCAAAGTCTTGAACTGGGAATGTTTTATTCTGTGTATGCCCCATGTGGAGAGTGATTAGAACTGCTATTTGGGTGATTTTCTTGTAATAAAATATTTTTAGGCTGGTCATTGGACCCTCCTTGGATAGTCAAGACTATATAAGACTCTCTGTTTAAGCTGGTGCAGCAAGGTCTTGCTGGCTCTAGAGGATTTAGTGGGATCATCCACTGTAACTTCTGGCTCTTTTCCTCTTAGGGGTGGAAACTAGTTAAGATGGAAATTAGTTAGGTCTGAATGTGTAAAGGAATTTATCCAGGCCACATCTCCCATACACTTGTATACTGTGCAGCTCCAAAAATGAAGAAAACTGCATTATGTCTGGGGAAAGTGCATATACAAGGAAAAAAGTACGAGTAAATACACACAGCCTTGGTAGAAATGTATGTGTGGTGAGGAGCAAGTTTGCAAACAGATGCAGAAGTGGGCCAAAATGAACTTGCAGCTGGGAAAATGAGGAGCTGAGTGGAACTGAAATGGACGGGCTCTACTCTGATTCCCTCTTAGCTGAGGGATCATCTGTTATAGATCATCCGTGATAGATGCCGATGGCTCAGACCTGACGCCGAGAAGGCTTCAAGCCTGGCTGCAGAAGTTTTGGAGCCCCAGGCAGGCTGTGCTGGGTGTTTCTGAAAAGCCATCCCTGCCTCCTCCGTGGAGGTGCTGTAGTCCCTCGCCTTGCCTCCAGAAGTGGGCTTCCACAGCATGGCGCTCTCGTGGGTCAGGAGGCAAGCGGCCCCTTACTCTCCAGTGCTGCTGCTATCATTCAAGCCCACCTGGGGGAAGGAGTGGTTGGCTGCAGCAGCATAGCCACCAGCTTGCCAGGTCCTAGTGGATGCTAGTAGGGACCCAAGCAAGGTGGCAGGCCCAGCGGGTCTTGCTGGATGGTGTGGGTGTGGATGAGGGTCCTGCTGTATGTTGTATGCTGTCAGTCTCACCTTGCTGCTGTATATTGTATGCTGACACCCAGCTCTGATGAAGAGGTTTTAAAGAAAACTTTAGATTAGTTAACTGGGGCTGCCTCTTCAGAGGAATTTCTGTTCCAGCAATTAACTACTGGCTTTTGGGAAAGGAAGGGAGCAACTCCTGCTAATATGGGCGTGCTGAGATTTGTGAAGTGCTTGTTCCCCCTTCTAGGATGGTGTCCAGAATGATGGGTACTGTTGTGTGCCGTATCACCTGAGCACAGTGTAAAAGGTGCAACTTACTGACCATACAGATGTGAGAGGAACTGATGGTCATTCCTTGTGGCCAGGGATTCTTAGGGGTGAAGGCAGAGGGGAGGCTTCAGACTAGTTATAGTGGAATCTAAGTTGAATGCATAAATAAATACATGATGTGAGAAGTAAGCGCCATGGAGTTCAGTGGATGTTGCGGCTGGACAGGATCTCAGTTATGCCCCTTGTATCTCATTAATGATCAGCTTGCTTTGGTTGGGATGCTTGTATTTCATGACAGAGTTTGCAATCAACAAGTTAGCACCCACTTATGAGTTCTTCATGCAAGAGATGGACATGGAACCTTTCCTGATAAGCTGCTGCACTTCCAACATTTGCCACTGCACATTGTAAGCTGAAATTAAGTCAGGGCCAGTTCCAGGTTTGCAGGGGCCTTCCCTACCATTTTTGTGGGCTCCTCCATTGCGTTCCTCTCTCTTGTCTTCCTGCCTTCCATCCAATAAAAGTCTGCTTTTGCCTGAAAAAAAAGGAGGGAAAAGGAGGCAGCATGGCCGGAGGGAGCTGGGCAGGAGGAGGGATGGCAGGCTGTAAGCAGCTGCCCAGCCATGCCCCTAGATCCGCCTGGGACTCAGTGCCATCACCCGAAAAATCACTGGGCTGCTGCTGTATCGCTGTCACCAGAAACAGAGGAGCTGTATGTGTGCTTTTAAACCAGTATGTGCCACTGTAAAATGCAGCAGCTTGACAAAATGCGCGCAAGACTTTTGCAAATATGCATTTGAGTAACTCAGGGTACTAGACCGTCTGGATTTCTGTGACATGGTTTTGAGGTGGCTAGACGGATCAGACACAGTGGATGTGGTTTCAACAAGGCCTTTGACAAAGTGTCGCATGATATCCTGGTTGAGAAATTGAGGAGTTTTGGGATAGACCTTTGGGACTGTCTGATGGATTAGGGCGTGGTTGATGCACTGAAAGCAGAGCGCAACTATTAGTGGGGAATCATCAGGATGGCAGCCAGTGGTGAGAAGGGTCCCCCAGGGCTCTGTCCAGGGAGCAATCCTGTTCATTCTTTTCATCAACGACATGGAAGAGGGGATGACCAGTCTGCTGATTAAATTTGCAGATGATACAAAATGGGGGTGATGGCCACAACTGAGGAGCAGGGACTCCGGATCCAGAAGTATCTGGACAGACTATGGAAGTGGGCCAGGGACAACAGGTTGGTGTTCAATGCAGATAAGTGCAAGGTCTTGCACTTGGAGCATAGGAATGGGTGTCGTAAGTACAGGTTAGGGGGCAAGTGGCTGGAAAGCAGCACTTGTGAAAGGGATTTCAGGGTACTGGTCAACTGCAGGCTAAATATGAGTCAGCAGTGTGACACAGTGGTCAAGAGAGCGAGCACCACCTTTGGTTGCATAGTCAGAAATGTGGCTTCCAGATCGAGAGAGGTATTACTGCTACTCTGTACGACTCTGGTGCACCTGCAACTGGAGTATTGTGTTCAGTTCTCTCTCCACATTACAAGAAGGATATAGTCAGGTTGGAATCGGTGCAGCACAGGGTCGCAAGGATGGTGGCCAGATTGCAGGGGAAGCCTGCAAGATTGAGGAAGCTGGATCTTTTCAGCCTGGGGAAGAGGAGACTCTGAGGGGATCTGTTGGTGACATACAGGTATGTGAGGGGGTGTCACACAGAGGTGGGTCAGGACCTGTTTTCCCCTGCAGAGGAGGGCAGGACGTGCTCCAGTGGAACAAAGCTCAGGGAACCAAGGTTCAATATGGATGTCAGGAAGTACTTCTGGAGGTGGTTGAAGCCCCATTGGTGAGGGTGTTCAAGGATAGGCTGGACATGCACATGGCAGGCATGTCTTGAGTGGAGCCGGCTAGAGCCGGGGGTCACACTGGATAGCCCAGGAGACCCCTTCTGACTCACTCTGTTTCTATGCTTCTAAATGGACATGGGATTATTTGCAGCCCCAGTGCTCACCTTGGAAACTTGCTCTGAGCAAGTTTCCAGGCTCAGAGCTAGGCCTCTGACCTCGGAATGTTGTTTCTCTGCCCTGGAAACCGGTACAGAAAGATCCCACTGGCTGTGGCTCCAACAGCACAAGTGCTGTCGAAGGGTTTTTCAGGCCACCTTCACCTCCATGCCCCCTACCCCCACATAGCACACCCCTAGTCCTCCAAGTCTGGGGAGTTAGGAGCAATCCAATCCTCCTTGGATTGTGTTGCCTGGCTATAATCCTGTACGCACCAGCTTGGGAGTAAGTCCCATTGAACACAGTGGGACTTACTACCGAGTAAAAACAGAAAGGATTATGCTGTAAGATTACACATTGCACAGTCCCAGGAGAAGTAAATAATAAAACTTGTCAGATTTTGTGGAAACATCTTAGTTATTTGAGTATGTTCAGTTAAGTGTAGAACAAAGTGTGATGCTCATGGGTGGCCTTTAAACACAAGATGATGATGATGATGATGATGATACACTACAATGAACAGCTGACAGTGGCTTGAGGCACAGAAATTCAGAAGGTGCTGCTTATTCTACTTCTTCTGCTTCTTCTTCCCATGCCAGGAAGCTCTATTTGTTCCACTTTTTTCTGTTGGGCACAGGAATAGATTTTGTTCTGATTTTGTTTCTGCTTAAATGGTAGCCCAGTGTTACATACAGCTTTGTCTTTCTTTCTTTCTTTCAGCTGCTCTGTGCCTGAGAAAGAAGGCTCTGATCTGGGAGACAGTAGAGAAGAAGTGAATGCTACAGACAATTCATCTTGTGCAGAGACGGCTCTTGAGTCGCCGGCTTCTTTCTCCAAAGAGAAGGGCAACAAACACTCCCACTTTGAGAAAGAAGTCGGTGACAAATTGCAAGAGTTTGATGCCCCTGGGAGTACTAAGTGGCAGCACTCGGAGGCAAATGACACTGTACGTCAGTCAGAGAACAAGACATGCGACTGCACAGCTCCAACGGAGAACCAGGAATGTAACAGTAGCAGTAATCCATTAACGAATTTAAAAGCCCTGCAGAGCGAGCATGATCACAGCTTCCCAGCACAAAGCACAGATTTGCCTGCCTCACAGGCAAAATCTCTGGAGGACCAGAGGTGTGAAGATCTTGTGACGGAGATTACTGCCAAAGACAAGTCTCTGGTTGACATCCTCATGCCCCATCGTGTTAGGAAAACTGTGCTGGATCTCATGGAAGGCCTTTTTCCTGTGAACATCTCTGCTTTAGACAGAACCTGCAGAAGGAAATGGAGATTTCAATCTGTCCAAGAAAATGAGTAAGTTAATGAGGCATAGATAGCATGGCATAGTTTGGGCAGGTCAGGTGTGAACTGGTGTCAGCAGCTAAATGGACTTCCTGCATGTGAAAGAGAGAAAAGGCTTCATAAATGCCTGTGATGTAACACTGTTACTCGTGAAGACCTGGATCATATTTCCATGGCATATCTCACATTAGGTGCCACAAACTCTATCGGGAAAGGAAGCACTGCTCAGTGACACAACACGTGCTTTGAATTCATGAAGTCGCAGTTCAGTCCCTGGACTCTCCATTTAAGGGAACTGGGCAGCAGATGATGACAAATGAGATGAAAATACTGGGTTGGATACTGGCAAAGAGCTTGGCCCTTGCTTAAGTCAGCCTCCTATGAGGGAACTCTTCCAGGATTAGCACCATTGAAGCAAAACGAGGCACTGGTGTGCTGTGCACCTTTTCCTCACGGGGACACGGTATGCAATATGCCCAAGTGCTAAGAGGCTTGGCGGTAGCGCCATGCTACTTTATTTTGGGCAGGGTGCAGGACAGGGGGCGATGTTAGTTGCTGATGGCACAACTGGTATCGACACTTGGTGTCAATGATTGCTAAAATGCTATTTTTCTTTAATATACTAAATGTACAAGCAGACTGGTGGAAGCAAACCATCTTCTATAGCAACCAGCAAAATAGGTGATTTTGCATCAGATTCCAAGAAAGCAGTAGCATAGTTCCAGTCTGGCTAAACTCAGCTCTCTTGCATGGGCTTTCGCTGGCGTTTTCTGAGCATGTAGAACTGAGGACAGCTTTCTTTATTATCACATAGATCCCAGCACCGGCTTTAGAACCGCTATCACAGAAAATACCATTTCTGGAAAAAATGTCTCCTAAGCCTAAACCCCTATTGAGAAAATACCCACCAGCAATGCCTCCCATTAGCCAAGCAAGGAATTTGGCCAAGGAGAGCCTCCCAGCAGCTCTATCAGTTCCTGTACTGATTTGGAGAAACACAAACCATCCTGCGTCACACAAGCCGTCC